AATTTAACCTTACAACCTGTAGATCGAAAGAAAGTGCTATGAAATGGCCGACCGGGGACACCACATGGCCTCGGCACAAAGGTGGCCGTAACTATCGAAGAACTGAACCAATTCAAATAGAATAAACGGCATACGATAGTTTATACCTTCCCGAACAAAATTACACTAAAACTACTCACGAATTCCTACTATAACTGGAGAAATCGCAATCCAAAGACAGAGCCCACACACTGCACGTATCTACCCGTACGGCCGCCCTGTCGTACACAGTCTACAACTGAGTACTTCTCTTTTTGGGCAATTTTCTGGGTTCAGGCTTCTTTCTTTTTAATCTTTCTGGATACTTCTCAAAAACTGATGGCACAGAGCCAGGTAGAAGCCTTTTTCGTGTTGTGCTAATGCTATAATTTGTGGGGAGAAAATGTCGACTACAAACTCTAGATCTTTCGGAAGGAATCCAATAACTGCCTTTTTTCTCACCTTCCTTTTTTATACTTAAGAACCATTGTGTTTTCAACTGTGCTTCAGAGGGGAACTCATGCAAAGTAATACCTTTCATACGTCCAATGCTTTTACACAATGGCACGCAGCAATAAACCATGTTGTAAAAAGGATCGAAGGATCCTTTTACAATAAAAGAAATAATGCAGTATAGAAAATAACTATGTATGCTATGTTATTTTAAATTTCAATAGATGTGACAACACTTTAGCCAGAGAATACTGTCTTGGCTAGTATATGTCTATCTCTGAATAGGGGTGTTAAGACACCATATAGCGACAAAATTTAGCAACACTAAACGACCCTCTTTTCGAAGCGAAAAGTTGAGAATGCGATAGCCTTTCTTATCTCATAAGCTATGGTAGGAGACAAAGTACTACTAAAAGAAGTAGTTGTGCCAAGAGGTATAAAGCGATGGTCGGGTCCTTATCGAATAATCGACGTTCTTAGCCCTGTTAATTATCAAATAGAAAATATCCAGACCAAGGATAAGTTACGCGTTCACGTTGACTGAATTAAACCCGCTATCGCTAGAGAAGAATTTGAGGTGAATGAGGAAACAAAATGAATTGCCAAAAATAACGGATAACGGGGATGAAGACGAAACTTAGTCCATGGAACAGGAAATGAGCTATATTGACCCGTGGGATGAATTTATTTTAAACTCCATTCCCGACCAATTACCCGAAGAGCAACCAGAACCGGAAAATGAAAGCAAATGTGAGGAACTACAGAGTGACGGTGAAAGCTTCAAAGAGGGCGATGGACCGGAAGTCACACCTCCCTATGCACTTTGAAGTTGAGGTCCCGTTACCGAACAACCTTGGTGATGCCTCAACCTAGTCGAAGTCGAATACTGCGATTAATTTCCCCCACTACCAGCCGATCCTCTTTCCCTTAAGATAGGCTCAAGAGAGGAAGTGGAAACGATGTGTGTACTCTCTCTCTCTGACCTTGTCCTATTTTTCCTCCGCTTCCTCCCCTCTCTTCTCTAGACAAACTTAACGAATAAGGGATTTAACAAAGAAGTAATCCTATCCTCTCCTTTTTCTCTGTAAGGACAAAGAAGGATAGAAAATATTCAAAAGGAAAGAAGAACTCTGTTTTAAGATGATCTTGAAAATCAGCTGTATTTTTAGTATAGTCTGCCTTAGTTGCATGAGCGCTTCCGAACAGACAGATGATTTCCGAAAACGAACTATTTTTATTAGTGTTGTAACGAATAGTATATTCGGCCAAACTATTCGGCTTGATTAACACGCGTACAAAAATTGGCGCGCAAACCGAATTATGGCAGGGATCATGCTCTTTATTGGCCCATTGTCACTACGCTTCGCCAGTCGCGTTAATTCTTGATAGTTCAGACAAGAGCATCATGGCACTATGCAATAAGTGGTGATATCAAATGTGGATAACAATGAAATGACCTACACGTGTAAGTAACGGAAGAAGAACAGAGAAGAACTGCAAAGTGAAAATGTGAAAATAAATATGAAATTGAGTTGATAACATAATCGAACAAGTCGAAGCAGCTTATTGGCCCAAAATTTGCGGCCATAAATGCCAAACAATTGTTGTCATAAACTTCGGAAAGCTAAATGCTTGTAATGAAAGTCACTTAGCGTGCACGGGCGAAAGCCTGGAGTCGTTTGGGCTACCAAGCTGTTTCGAATCTGTGAAATCATAACTGTGACTTATACCGACGTCCTATCTGTCTCTCTTCTCCGTTATCACCAGGCTATAAGTCACGTAATTGTAAAATGGGGAATCTACGACGGAAAAGTGACGAATCGAAAGTATCGTGAGGGCGTATTATGATGTATGCATAGTCATACGTTGACTAGAGCGATAGAGGAAAAAGAAAGGGAAGAGCAAAGATGAGCGCTTAAAAAGAAGGATAGGCAGGGTCAGACCCTCAAATGTGCGACGATTCTCGAATGAATAGGTGTGTACGTGTGCTGATCTTTGTAATTATAAATTGTGAATACGTGTGACTAATATTATCTTCTTTTTTATTTTGTTCATGTTATAAGTTATAAATAAATATAAGCAAACAATACTAACCCGATAACATTAAATCTAAATACCAAAATGATTAATTTACTGTTTTTTTGTTATTTCTTACTCCTGTTTTTAGGTATTCATTCGGCCGAATAGTGATTAAATATTCGGTATTCGGCTGAATAGCGAAAAATAGGCTGAATACCAAATAGTAACCGAATATTCGTTACATCACTAATTTTTATCCATCAAGGAAACTTTTTGATGACGTCTAGTCATTGGACCTTAGTAATTGATGTTAACTTTCAGCATTTTGAGTGCCAAATACAATTTTTAACACACACTCTTTTGTATTTGGAGAATATGATCCATCAACGTGGAGAGAAACCCATCGACTGGGAAAAGGTTAAATCAAAATGGATTTTGCCTACCCACAGGTTCGATTTGTTAAAATCATCCTTTTATACTTATAAGAAGGACTATTATGAACTGAAAGCTCTGGTAACTGTCCAATCGTTATACAATGTGGNCATCAACGTGGAGAGAAACCCATCAACTGGGAAAAGGTTAAATCAAAATGGATTTTGCCTACCCACAGGTTCGATTTGTTAAAATCATCCTTTTATACTTATAAGAAGGACTATTATGAACTGAAAGCTCTGGTAACTGTCCAATCGTTATACAATGTGGGGATTGGGAGCACAAGGAGTTGATGACCCCGATGAGAGGGAGTGTCGACCTTTCAGTTAAAGGTGAACACGCTCACTTTGCTCGTGATCTGTCAGGATGACGTGAGAAAGCTTTTTTCGTATAGGAGTAGTTGTTTGGACGCAAAGAGACTCGCACAGAGACCATAAATTTACAATTAACGCGTTTATTTGGTAAGATACATGATACATTGTACAGATACATGGTATTTTAGCTGTCTGGTCGAAGGGCAAACAGAAGAAAAGCGCACCGGATAGTTCCTTTCGATGCTGTAGGTTGTCACACACAACAAAAAACAACAGGAGGAGAAAGTTCATTTCCGATATAGTCTTGGAGCTTGCGGGATGGAGAGTTGTCTCTGGGAAATTGGGTCTCTAGTCCCTTCTGTCCTAGGTTTCAGAGATGTGGATCTTTCTGATGATCCTGGCCCGGTTTTCTGGGACTGGAATTCTTGAGCTCATCCTCTCTGTGTCCTTGGGATTTCAGGCTTTTATAATATTTTTCTTCCCGAAATCCCGAGATTTTGGTTGGTCCGAATGCCTGTCCCCTGCGATCCTATTGGTCTTTGGGTCTGTTGCCAGGGATGCGATTTGGGCTGTAGGGTTGCCAAATATCCCCGTCCGGGCCGTTCCCCTCTGGAGTTGGGTCAAGCCCTTTCCCAGATGATGGACCAGTAAATTTTACCTAATGTCTGTTTTTCTGTCCTGGAGAGGAGGCAGCTGTCCCAGCCGCCACCCCCTTCACAGGAGTGTCAGCAGGACCTGCTTTGAACTCTCTGAAAGGTGACCATCCAAAGTTTTCCCAATGGTTGATCCCTCGCTCGTTCTCACGATTGACGATCTCGGATTTGTCAATTAGGTCTGGAATGCAACAATTAAATCGTCTTGCACCCCATTCCTTGGTTACACCGGTCTTATTTACGTAATAAGTCACCGATATATTCACTTTAGCTCTACTGCCGGTTTCCGTTCAAGGGGGGGTGTGTTGTCTCGGCCTCACAAGAAGAAGCAAGAGTTAGTTGCTTTTGGAGGAAAAGCTCTAAAATTTCTCTTTGGAACAGCCACCTCAGAGTATATAGAAAATTTGAATAGAGAAATTACTCTTCTAAAACAAATTAATGAAGGAATAGTTCATTTATTCCGTTCCCAAGCAACATTGCTGAATGATACTTAAGAATTAGTAAAACTAATAGGCAGCAAATTAACATACTTATGCAAAGACAGAAAGGATTTGATGAACTCATCAGAATGTATCGATTTAATTTAGCATTCAAGGTAGTCATCAGAATGATAGAATTTTCTATGCAAGAATTTCATATGCAATTAACCCGGCGTGAATGAGGTGAGAAATTGTTACACCAGCTATGAGTGGGTGGGAGATACCCGAAACTTTGATGCCAAATTTTTTATAGTATAATTGTGTATAAAGTATTTTTTCACTTGGGATAATAAAAATTGTATCTATTCAACAAGATGAGTAAATAAAATATTATGTTTAAGATTGAAAAGCATTTTTTTTTAATTGAAATAACAGTGTCTATATTTTCTCTGAAAAAGTACAAGTTTTGGTAGTTTAACATTTTTTTGTATAAAATTCTAACAAAATTACAATTTTTTTGGTTAATCAACATAACTATAGTATCTTTCAATTATAAAAATAGAAAAAATAAACTAAAAGGTCTTATGAGATCAATTTGCACAGCACCAACATTACACCTACAAATCAGCACAATCTCCACACACAAAAATCGCATGCTTCATACATTTTGGCTTCTCACACTTCGAACAGCGATGTTTTGTTTTCCTATCTGTTTTTTAGTACACTCACCACACCTGACATATTGGGTGTATTCAAAATCTCAGCGCGCTGCCAGTGCCTCTCAGCAACTCTGTTCAAAATCTCAGCCAACTTCCGGTTGCTGCCAGCAAACTGCAAACATCTTTTTTAGTGCTCCATACGTCAGCAAACAAGATGGCAGCAACCATGAAGTTAGTAAGGGCTTTGTTAACGTCAATGGTTTTGAATTCAATTTACTCTTTGATGAATTCACATTGAATAAATTAAGATCAGGTAAGTACATNCTGACCCTGTGAGCGGGACTCACCGCCCCGTTGTCGGAAAACGGTTCAAGCTTTGTTGCTTAAACCCCGATTCTCACATTGGGATTATAGGTCAAAGAGAAGGGAAGTAGAGGGAATTGTGAGATAAACTTATGTCCATTCCACAATCTGGAGTGGCTTTTCAGAGCTGGAAAAAATGCAATTCCAGAAGTGTATTGCAGCAGAAGGATTTTATTTTGAGTATATAATATATATATATATATAACATAAATGGAGGACTATACTTTTCAAAATTCTTTTAATTGTATTCATTAAGTATACATGGATATACATTTTAAACACAGCAATTGCATGTAATGTTGTAATAAATTTATGAATTAATGTGTAATATTTTCTGTTTATTACAGATAATGGCCCATGTCGATTTGGAGTTTGCTCTCAAATATGCTCAGTTAAAAAGGCTGAAAACTTTTCTTGTAATTGTGTTGAAGGTTTTGCATTAAAACAAAATGGCAGTTGTCAAGTAGAAGGTATGTTATAAAAAATTAATCTTAAATGAGCAATTATTTAATTTAAAATATTTGCACTCCACCTTAAATTAGTACTGTAGTATCTTGCCCCTGTATATTGTACTTTTCCATTAGATAGCAATGGAGTTGTGCCGGTCATGTAACTCATTTCAGGGGAAAGTTTTGGTTGAAATAATGCAACTTCTGGTTTGCAGTGGAAGTTCATATATAGTTAATTGGGGCCTCCTGCCCCTAAACTTTTTGTGTCTGGTCTCGACTTTCATATAACTCTGGAATGGAATGATTGGATAAAAACCACAATCTTTGTTGCCATAGATACATTTCTGACAGACTTCTCTCCAATTTTTCAAAGTATGGAATGAGAACCAGAGGGTTCTATCTACATTTTACTTTTTTTTTTATTTACTTTAATCTGTTGTTTAGATAAAATTATGTTATAAAATGATCATTATTCTGTTATGCAGTAAGGACCTAGAGACAAGGGATCTTGCCATGAAAATTTGGTTCTATTTACAAAAGATGGAAAAACTTCAAATTCTTCTGCTGTAAAACTTTGTCTAAATTAGACAGAACCCTATGGTTCATCATGTGTGTTGTAGGCCTATTTTTCATATTGAAACTTCGTTAAACTGAATAAGAGATAATGATCAATAATTAAAGAAAATTGTATTAGATGTAGACAATTTGTCCACATCTAATAATCAGGTGCTATAAATTGATATGATTAACTTTTGGGCTAGAACTTTGTTATGTAATATTCATTAAACTAATCAGGCAGACCAAAAGAATGCAGTTAAATAGCCATCTTGTATAAAAATTTAATGTATGAATTAAATTAGCTTGCTAATTACACTTCATCTGCAGGGTAAGCAGAAAGAAGTTGATGGGGAACAGGACTCAAATCAACAATTTTTTTCCTGAAATGAATTGAATTNGTATATTCTGAATGGAGTCTTCATTTAATTAATTTTTTTAGCTCACCAACAATCACTATACTTATTGTAAGAAATAAAAACAATTTCTTCCTCCTTTATAAAAATTGTTTTTCAAATAAGAAACCCGACTAAAGAGGCGTGAAATATTTAAAATATTTAAATATCGTTTTTTTTTTATTTCGCTATTACATTAGAGTTTGAATTATTAGTTAATATCGCAGCGTTTAATGTTAAATTAGAACCAACAAAATTAGCATATTCCTATAAAAAGTTTAATTTAATTTCAAGGGAAAGGGAAAGCATTAAATATTTTTACAGAGATTTCTACAAATTTACTATTATTTCTTTTATATGAATAAAGAATTAATGAAAGCAATTAAAAATAATTATCACATCATTAACGAAAAATTCTAATTTTGATAATGTGTTTTTAATAATTTCATAGATAAAGAAGATTTACAGTTTTTTGCGCGACCGCAAATCGCTGTAAATTGGAAAATAAAAGCTTTTCGATCGTTTCACATGAGATGTTTTCAAAGTTACAAGAATGTTGACATTCTTGGTTGAGGACATTTTATTTTGACCAACTGGAGGTTTTCTATCGCATACTGCTTTCTGTCACATTTTATTGACACTAAACTGGACACAGCCTATCATAATGTCATCTTGTCATCCGAAAAGTTAGTCCATTTGGGCAGGCCTCTGGTGTTTGTTAGAACATTACACTCAATTAGGGTCTGAAAAATTTTTGACAGATAATCGATGAAACCACAACGAGAGGGGAGAAATTATTTTGTGAAAACTAGCAATAACTAATTAAATTCATTATAACATTGATCTTTTCGGGTAAAATATTCAGATATAACTTCTAGAAAATCAAAAATAAAATGAGTTTACAGACAAATTGTTTATATTATATATTAAAATCACCATATGAAGTTATTATTGAATATTAAATTTAATTTCTTGTTATTTTCAGGGGGAACACCATATTTATTTGTTGCAAGTGAAAGTGAATTGCGTCGTCTGAATCCTTATAAAGTAACAGATTTGGAAGATATACTTCAAGACAATTCTCAAACAAATCGCATTAACTTTATTGATGTATATTTTGAAAATTCAAATCCAATTATATTTTGGACAAACTTCCATTTGAAAGGAGTATATTATTACGCTGTTTCTAAAAATAAGGATACATCTCAACTAAATCATCATGTAAAACGAGATGCTGCCTCTTCAGTCAAAGAAATAGTAAGTAATTATTTGAAACATAAAACATAAAAATTAATATTTATTAATTGTGTATGGGGAAAATACCAGTATTAAACCAAATACTCGGCATTATTCGGCCACAAATTATGAATTTGGACTGAGTAATCCTCAAAGTTGAGCTATTTGGCCAAAATATCTTCTTACTTTAGTCAAAAGAAGAAAATGAAACAAAAAAAAAAAATCCAAATTTTTAATTATTTGAAAATATTGTTCATGTCTGTTCTGGAAAGGAATAGGTAATACTCAATGGCATAGCTAGCATGGGTGGCACCCCAAGAATGATTTGTTTTGTTCGAGTTATGGCAATGCAACACGTGGGTGATCTGCCTAGGGGGATGCCTTCCGGGAAGTCTTTTTAAGGGAAATTGGCTCCTATTTAGGCATTACAGATGTGGGGAAAACTCCATGTGGCCAACCCGGCCGAGCGAGGCGTGAATCCACGACTGAACTCCCAGTGTTCAGGGTATGAAGACCGCTTGGCCACTGGTGGGCTCTCCTAAGAATGAAAACAGTTAAAATTAATAAAAATCTGATAAATGTAAAGTATGATTTTATTTAATTAATATAAATATATAAAAATTCACAAAACTGTAGTGATTGCATAACTGCAACTTGTAAACATTTTAATCTGGAGTAATTATTTTATAGCACACGTGCATTAATAAATTAAATTATTTAATATAGGCTTGAAGCCATTTTAACCAAGTTATCTAAGTGACTTATCGTTGAAAAACATTGTGATGGTTTGTTTAAGTTTTTATTTTATTTTTTCATGGTAGGATGTCACCCCTAATTGGGTGACACCTGGTGCAGGCCCCCTGCCCCCTAGCTATGCCACTGGTAATACTTGCACATTATTGTTTCTTAATTTATTAATAATCATAATTCAAAATTTTTTAAAGAAGACAAGTCTTAGTGACAAGATAAGGGAACTTTTTCTTATTTTACTACCACTACATCAATTGTTGTGTAAGCCTAACAGATGGTGCAATTTTGTCTTCCGCTTGGGTGGTTTGGTTTTTCTGGAAAAGTGTCAGCATAGTGAGATGCATTGCACCAGGATCTCATTTGAAGCAGACATGAATACAAGCTGCTGACCCTACTCTGAATTGGATCATCGATAGGCCAACTGATCTCCTTAAAAGCAAAGGGATGAAGATCCCAGCCAACCTTTTTTTTCTTTCTTTTATCTCTTGACCAAGTTTGAAAGACAGCTAGAGTTTCCTCTTGGAAGGTGTTATGTGGATGATTACATCTGGACTCGGACAGCAGACATCCAGAAGTGGCAAATTCTACGGACTCTTTCATCTGAGTGACCAGTCTTCAAGTAAAGGAAACTGTGCTCCAGTAAAGGCCATAAGGTGACTTTCCTAAGAACCAGATTGTTAAAAACCAGTGTTATTTAGAAGGGGAGGAAGAAAAGATTAATGTACTTCACAATGTTGACCAATCATAGTGATCAGATATGAAATACACTTTTCTACTTTTCAATGACAGTAAATAATGAATGCTCAAATTCTACCTTGCCAGGATGTCTTGAATTAGTATGCGAATGGACAGTCCTAACTCAGATTGACTATTTTCAAGGTGGTTGTTGTTAGTTGGTCATTTCAAGCATTCACAATAAGCTTCATATATCTGTTACCGCTAAAGCTCGAAATCCGTTAATGTGCGCATTACCTAGCTAATCTGCAGATTAACTANATACAATTATCTCTGTACGTACAGGCGTTAAAATTCGATCTAACAAACAGCGGATTAATTGAGAGTTACGACTATACGCGAGGTAAAAACTTATAACTAATTCTTACACTACTTACGACTAAAGAGGGAAGAAGAGAGTAGAAAAATAATAAAGTATAAGAGGGAGATGGAAATACCCGGGATTTTGAGTTCGAAACCTTGGGTGGAACACCACGTGGACCTTTCCGTGGAACGTTGTCTCTCGTCCTTCCTTTATGTCTTTTCGTACGATTCTTTCGATGGCTTCCTCTAAAGTTCTATTATAGGAGTTTCTTCCTATCGATTCGCTGGCTCCTCGTAGCTTCCAATTGTTTTACACTCAATCTGAAGCTATACCACTTCTCCGTCCTTATTCTGCGAACTTCGAGCCCAGACCTCTCCTTTTAGCTTCGTAGTCTCCAATCGTCTTACAAGCGATCCGGAGCACTACCTTCTCTCGTCAGTTCTCCTCGAGAGCTCGACCTCGACTCCCTTTCGTTTGTTCTTTTTGCCTTAGGGTCCCACTTCACCCTCTGTTCCATTCCCATTTCTTGGGATTGTTAATCCCACCCAAGGGAAAAAGGTTGGAAAGGAAGGTTCTAGAAAAGTAAGAAATAAAGGAACAAAGAAACTTAAAACTAACTAAAATTAATATATTTTATACAATTTTATGGCCGACGGCCACGTATGCCCCCTCCTTTAGAGTTAAACACCATGATGTAACTTATGGTAGTTTATCCGCTTCCTCCGCAAATTATATCGGGATTGTGTTTCGACGTTATCCTCGGTTATATTATTTTTTTCCGCTTCATTGTCCTCGTCTCTTCTTATTTGGGTTGCAGACGAATCAGGTACTGCATTTCTTAGGTGAGTCCACATCCTTATATGATCATCCCCTTCTTCATCCTCCACACCGTCTAATTCATTATCTGTGTCTTCTTTCTGGAGGGGTTGCCGAACACGTCTTCTATGTTCCTTTTGATTGCGACTCATGCGCGATAACGCGTCTGCAACATCATTATGCCGACCCTTCACGTGTGTTATCCTTATATTATAATCAGCTAACTCTGTTGACCACCTCATGAGTCTCTTGTTATGATTTTTCATATTCTTTATAAAAATTAACGGTTTATGATCGGTATGCAATTCAATGGGGTGACCCAAAACTAGCGGCTTAAAATGTCGCAATGACAGTACCATCGCCAAGCACTCTTTTTCGACTGTTGAATAATTCTACTGAACCGTCGGCTGAAATACCCCACTGGGCAAAGACCCTTATCCTTCATTTGACCCAACATCTCACCAGCGCATTTTTCCAACGCGTCCGTGTACAGGTGAAAAGGGGAGCTAAAATCGGGATGGCGTAGTAAAGGGGGTCTAGACAGTATGTTTTTGAATTTTTCAAAGCTACCTCTGCATGCCGCGTCCCATACAAATTTCTTGTTCTTCCTTGTCAAATTAGTAAGGGGCAGTGCAAGGTCGGAAAACCTAGGTATAAAACTCCTAAAATAACCAACCATACCTAAAAAGCTCCGCACCCCTTTTATATCAGCTGGTGGCTTCACTTCACGAATGGCCTTCACGTTATCATCATCGGGAAGTACTCCTTTTTTGTTAATAACGTGACCGAGATATTTTACTTCATCACAAATAAAACGACTTTTCGTGGGGTGTAGTTTAAGATTCTTGCTGTGAAGAGTACCTATGACTTCGTCTAGTAAGGTTATATGATCGCTCAATGACTTAGAAAATAAAACAATGTCATCCTGAAATATATAGCAATTAATTCCCACGAACCGGGCTAACACTCTGGACATTACAGCTTGAAAAAAACGGCCGCTGTTCTTGGCCCCTTGTGGGAGGCGACACATCTGAAACTTTCCCCATGGGGTTGAGAACGCGTAAACATGTCTCACAGAGGGGTCTAACGCTATTTGAAAGTAACC